CATACTCACCTTCATCAATGCTCAAGCCCAATCTCCATACCCACCACCATTCCGCCCGTCCCGCCACCCGCGTCACGACCCCCTCATCCCCCCTACCATACTCATTACGCCCCATCACCACCAACCATCACCCCCACCCCCTACTGCACCACAATCACTATCATCCCAGCCACATCCCCACCCACATGCCATGGCCATGCACACCACCATCCCATCGCGCACTCGGCTTCCTCTTCCTCCTCCTCCTCCTCCTCTCCTCGCTCTACCTCACCTCCATTCTCATCCCCGACTCCGACACCGGCATACGTCAACCATCACATTCCATACTGCCTGTCCACCAACCAACAGCAATCTCAAGCCATCCAGCCCCGACCCAGCCCCCTCAGCTGCGCCTGCCTTGCCGACCACCAGCCGCCAGCCGCCGCCCGCTCGCCCGAACAGCCCACCTTCATCACCACCTAGCTCCCACCCACGACCAGCTACACAACCCACGACTACACCCAAGGTTTTCACTCGCCATGCACTAGCACCAGTATTAGTACCGTCGTCATCGACACCCATCTTCATCGGTTCATTTCCGCGTCGGCTTGTTTTGCCTAGGCGGTTGAGCACGTCCTCGACCGCCCCACCCCGCACACAACCCCCACCAACCTCATTATCAGCTATACCCAATCTAATTTCATTACTTCCCTACTACATTCACACACTACCTCCATGCACAGTCTCCAATCCACAGCTGCAGTATTCCAGAATCGGAGTTCTGCCGGCTCAGGCCCAACTTGCTGGCCCTGTGTCCCTTCGATGCTGCTCACCCCCTGCCGCGGGCCCATCTCCGACCCCCACTCCCCACCATCTTCACCCACAACCACCACACCCACACCACACATACTCACTACCTCTGCAAACATAGCCACCCACTTCCTGCCCGCCGATATTCACATCAGCCGACGCCAACCCGTCAACAGCATCGCTGCCGACCGCCTGATGCTCACCGCCGACCGCCGCCCGTCGCCCACCGACCACCTCCGGCACCACCAAGAGCAAGCTAGCCATTGACAGGGCATTGGAGACAATGCATAGAGATAGCCACAGCGATGGCAATGACTACCAGTCTGTTTTCCAACCCAATCCTCCCCTCCATCCACCGGCCTTGCCCATCACAGCCCCCGCCGGTCTCCCCATCGCCCGCCGCTGCTGCCGCCGATCACCGAGCCAGAAGACGAGACCACCGGGCTGGCCAGGACAAGGAAGAACAAGAAAGGGCAAGTGCAAACGATAGGCAATGCAGTGGTGGGCTAGAGTGCAGTGGTCTGCCTTCTCTTTCAATCCCAAGTCCTCGTCCCCATCGACGTCCATCTCAATCCAATCCGTCCGCCCTCCTCTCCTTCGCCGCCCAAGCCCCTCCACCCTCATTTCCCACCCTCCACACTCACCCATCATCCTAATCCTACCCACCCACATCAATCC